CCTAAACTGCGACAACTTCCAAACCTGTCAAGCAGCACTGGCAGAGTCCCAACTCTGCGCTAACCCTTGGCAACGACCAACTAAAAGTCATTCAGCGTTTCAAATACCTTGGCAACCATATTAGTGCCTGTGGAATGGATGAGGTCACGAACCGTTTAGTAAAAGCTCGACGCGCTTTTTTAAACTACCTCACCCGTGGTGCCGGCGTAACACCACCCGGAAGGATAGCGTATACAATGCAGTCGTCTTTTCAACCCTCATTGCGGTTGCGAAGCGTGGTCCTTCAGTTAGACTGACAAAGAAACCATCGCCGTATTCGCATCAGCTCATATCTGGTGAGCAGTGAATGTGTTCGTCGTCAACATCAATCAACAACAGCAGTTCGTCAGTCATTTGAACTGATGCTTCGCTGCCATACAACCATGATAACCTACGGAAAGAAGAATAACAAGAGGGAGAGTAGGAGGGCTTACCGGGGAACCTTAATTTACTAAGCAAACATTCAGGGTCAAGACGCCTACACATTTTCATCACATACAGCTGGCTATCATGCAAAGGCGGCATCGGCCAGACAGCTTTCTTGCGATTTTCGCTGTCCCTCGTCATAATCAGCCATTACCGCAAAGATAACTCAGTAAACACACTTCAATTGATAAATAGCAAGCAGTTCGACTAGGAGACGACGGCAGACGCGCCATTACTGTCGACTGCGAGCCGTCCTGTAAAGTTTCGAGCCAAGCACAAGGTGAATCACGTGGACTCCAGTCTGAAAGGCGAGACGGACCAACGGCACCCAATTTGGTCGTCAGTGACTTCCTTTCCCGCTGCCAAGTCAACTTCTGTCCACCTCCAACCTTGTGCCACCCCACACCTGGCAGAATAAACAAGGCCTAGGTAAGCGGTGACCAAGCATACCTGGTACGTGCCCAAGCCAACGCAACTTATTCTCTGCTATCTGTTGTTCTAAGCAACTAGCTTGGTTATCACTGTCTAGTATTCGCCTACGCACATCATCGTTGCGGACATGCTGGTGCCACCCAACACTATCAGTACTCCGCAGACAAAGATGATGAAAGATTTAAACTTGTCTCAGATCTTCAGACCGAAGGGACCAAGTTTCAATCATACCTAGTAGGACGGTCCTCACCATGGCCTTAAAAACACTGTCTTTCAGACAGTGGGCAACACCCTTCTGTCGCCAAAAGATGGGTACAACATGGGTACAAGAAGGCAGTTCTGGCTTTTGCAATACGTGAACTGACCTCAGTAGCTATGCGCCAATTTTTGCTGATGCAGCTGCCATGGTAAGTGAATCGATCAACTACCTCGAGTTCCTCACCATCTAGGGTCAAGGGATCATCAAGTAGCTGGTAGTCCTGCATTAACCCTGCACTTTAAAAGATGCGAATCGCATACTGAATAATCGAACCACTCTTAAGAACTAACTCAGAGTTGATTGTGTCGCCGCAACATGGTCAAAAAGCAAAACGATACCGTCCGCATAATCAAGACCAATTAGTCTTTCACCATTCAGCACCACAACACTTGCATCGTGAGATGTCGCAGGAGCACACTCCATGATGTAGTCCACGCCGAAATTGAACAAAAACGGGGAAATCGGACAATCCTGACGAACGCAATTTGTTGTCGGAAAGCTATCCGATAGGTCACCGTAGACCCTGACGCGGCCTTTATTGTTCATGTACAGAGCACGCAACATTTTCACATATTTCGTGGGAACCGTTCCGCGCAAGTAGTTCGAACAGAATGCATCGATCGACTGAATCGAACGCACTCTTGAAGTTCGTGAACGCACCTAGTGTCGGTCTGCGATATGCCTGGCGCTGTTCTAGCACTTGCCGCAGAGTGAAGATATGCTTTACACAGCCATATCCTGGGCGGAAACCTGTCTGCTTTTTCCTAATCCGAGATTCCCATTCCGCAGTGAGGCGACGAGCGAGAATCGTGGCCAGTTGTGACAAAATTACTGGCCTCCATTTTCTTTCGTCCCCTCACTGTAGAATGGGAATCTCGGATTAGAGAAGAACAGTCAGGTTTCCGCCCAGGAAATGGCTGTGTAGATCATATCTTCACTTTGCGGCAGGTGTTAGGACAGCGCCACGCATACCGCAGACTGACACTAGGTGTGTTCATGAACTTCAAGAGTGCATTCGATTCAGTGGATCGATGCATTCTGTTCGAACTATCTGTTGAATGACATCCTTCTCGGCACTCCAGGAGGCGCGCAAGGGAGATGACTTTTTCGGTTTAGGTGAGGCATTATTTGCACTCCCGCATTGAAGTTCACGTTGCAAGGGTGACCTGTTTTCGAATAGAATAATTTCGGAACAGATCTCAACGTATTTTAGCTTCTGATAAACGCACTAGCGAGACTTACGTTACGAATGGTGAACAGAGTCAGACAAGCAAAACGTAAAGACTTTCCTCAGTCTTCTAAAACTAATAACGGTCTCAGCAATATTGCACGCCCTCGAAACAGTAGGCCTAATGTTGTCAATCGAGGTATTGTCAGCTTTGTTGAGGGCGATGGCGTTTTTTCCTCTTCTGTATTTTTGGCTTCTCTCAGAGGCGACTGCATTTAGGAAGTTTATGAAACTGATATAAGGATATCCCCAGATGAATCAAACAATTTTAGTTTCACATTTTGTTCGGCTAACTGTTGTTCCAACCTCTTTATTTTGGCTGACAGTGGAGATATAAGCTCGACAACACTAACTGAACTCAGTCATTGGTCATTTACCTGCTCTTGTATCCCAGACGGCAAGGAATGTGTGCGTCTGGGCACAGGTTCCTCTGCACTCGTCGTGACCGCAACGGTATTGCTTATCGTAGGTACCCGGTATTCCGCACCCTTTTTCCTCATTGCATCAGTCTTACTGGCAGTCATTTGTAAATGGGAAGATAAAAGCTGTGGCACATGCTATGGTCCATTTCTGGAGTAACAAAGGTCGTTAAGGTCGAGTGACTTACCTATTCAAGTCTCCACCAATAGGGCCGGATGGAGTGGTGGTAAGGAGCTGTCACGCGCTCTGAGGTGAAGCGCGACCTGAAGCAGGTCTATGCAGCCTTGGACGCGACTTATCGATCAAGCTGTTGCAGTTGTGTGTTTGCAGACTGTCCTCTCTTTCGTGTCAGTCGAATGTGTCAGCGTGAACGTGGGACAGATTACACGAGGGTGTGATTGAGGATTTTCGTGGTTAGGTCTTTGGATCACGCCAGGTGAGTTTGCCTTGGGTCCTGTAGCTGCTCCAAGGAGTACTAAATTTGGACGGGTGAGTTCGTTCAAGTTCCCTTGAAATGCTCTATCGAGCGAGGCCAGACAATGTCTCCGGTGGTTGGAGTTACGCAACTTTTGGTGCTTGGATATCGGCAAAACATGGCCCGGAATTTAGAATTCAGGATAAATACACTGGAGTATACTCGGGAAACTGGTGTCACCAAGTAGAGCTTGTAAAAGCACAACGAATAGGTATCGATCCAGTGGTGTGCTACAAAATGTCGCTGAACCACAATTAAAAAAACCACGTGTGCACAAGTGAACGATTAGCACGCAAGTTCGCTCAAAGTCATCTCTACCGAATATAAATGAGAGTACCCGCGCTGTCTCTGATTGTCACACTGACGCCGGGTTTCCTAGGACAGGTGATGCTAATCGGGTGGAAGAGCTTGTGGTTATTTTCTACTCCTGTCCCTATTCCTTGAGCCCGACTGGTCCACCAGGCTTCCTTGTTCAGAGACCGTTGCATCGTGTGCACGCAGGCTTCGTTTTAGTTCGCGCCTAATAGTCCGCCTGGTTATATTGTTTTCTTCTGGATTCCAACAGGTTCACCAACTTCTCGGATATCCTGGACTGTTGCGGTGGCGATTGATAGTGTCACAAGCAGGTGCTCCTGCGTCGTGCATGGTGGTCGACGTGGTGTATTTGGTGCAGAAAAAGCGAGTGAATCGCTCACCACCGTTATATCACGCACCAGGCTCCGATGATTGGGCCACATGTTGCGCATTTTAGCACACCGATTTCCCCGACGTGCGTTGTTTGCGCGAACGGGATATGGATGGAAGATGAAGTAGAGGGGAGACCAACCGATAACTTGATCAAGAATAATGGAGTCCTTCCTTTCGAAATTGGTGTTTCTTGGTGTCTCCCGACTGCGGGGCAGGGGTTCGATGGGCAGTGAACATGTTTGGTTGGATACGCTTGTTGACTTGGCGAAGAGCCGACTGCAGTGTCATTTGTATTGTGAGTTTCTTTGTCCCCCTCCCCTTCTAGTTTCCTTCTCCAACCACGACCTTTGCACGATGCATAATCTGCTATTTAGCATTTTTAGCATTTTTTAAACCTTTTGTATTGCGTCACATTGGTTGAGATGTGTTTCTCATTAGCTAACATCTATTGGTGATGATGCTGATGATGGTGAGTGAAGCTGATTTTTACAGGGACAGTAAAAGCCAAAAGAAATCTGTTTCACTAGCGCTGCTTTATCTTTGCACCTCTGACAGTTTGCGACCGTACGTTAAAATATTTGGATTTCTGCGCCCCTACACTGAATTTTCATTTCCCTCTTGTTACTCCTTGTTTAACTGATCATATCCGTAGAACCTCAGTTCCGAGCACTGATTGCCAGCGTAATCAGTGTTAGCCTATGGGAGCAGAGTGCATCACGCTTTACGCACTTTGCCTCCATTATCATGTCCATTTGAGTCCGCTGTATACCGCACTATAAATATCTGATTCACTGTATTTCATCCTTCTCCACGTCATTGCTTCGTATCGGTGCTTAGTCAGTTCACTACTCAGTTCAGACGTCATATCATTCGATGGCCAATTGGTATGAAACGTCTGCCTTGTTTTCAAGGGGTCACTGATTCGAATCTGCGGAGACGCGAGTGACACTAGCATGCACATGTGACAGCAAAGCGCTCGGTATATCTCATTGACGTACTACTGACGCCTTTCACAACTGCGTAGAAGTGAAACTATGCAGTGTTTGCGCAGTAATTTTAACTACACTCTCACTTCATTGGGACATTTAAACGTCAGTGTCATCTTTACCTTTGCCCCCGCTTACCAGTACTGTCTGTGCCATCTTTCCATCTCAGGAAGTTGCGGTGAAAATGGAAAACATCTACTCGAAGCACCCCCAATTGCACTTTGAGCACAAAGTTTACCGGATGCTCGCTGGCGCTGTGGGCATACCACAAACAAAGTAAGGTCGTCTTGTCTGTCACATATTTTGCTTCAGGTGGTATGGGGCGACACGAACCTACTGGGTTCTGGTCATGGATCTTTTGGGGCCCAGTCTCGAGGACCTCTTCACTTTCTGCTGCCGTCGGTTCACATTGAAAACGGTGCTTATGCTTGCCGATCAAATGCTTGCCCGGATCGAACACGTTCACAACAAGAATTTGATACACCGGGACATTAAGCCAGATAACTTTCTCATGGGCATCGGAAGACATTGCAACAAGGTGTACATGATTGATTTCGGGTTGGCGAAGCGTTTCCGAGATCCCCGAACAAATCGCCACATCGCATACCGGTCAGTTTTCTTCAAACTTTTGGCAATACTTATTAACTTGCAGAGAGGATAAAAATCTTACAGGTACCGCGCGCTACGCTAGCATCAACGCCCATCTCGGGATTGAACAATCCCGTCGTGATGACCTGGAATCTCTAGGCTATGTGCTGATGTACTTCAACCGAGGGTCGCTTCCTTGGCAAGGCTTAAGGGTAAGTGTTTCTCCGATAATGTAGTTTTACTAAGTTGCCATCACATGATATTTGAGAAATAGCTTTTTGTTTCTTGAAGCTTTCTGTTCGCTGCCTAATCCATCCATGATCACGACTGTTGGCTTACTTGGGTTTTGATACTACTGCTCACTTCGCTCCAGCCCCTTAATTATCCATCATAGTTGTCTTCACTATTGTACTGGCAGTTTCACCATCATTCTACACGTAAAGTGGAAGCGAGAACTACCTTAGTTACTGTCCCGAAATGCAATACGATAGGATGTTATAAAAAATCAGCATGTTGTCTTACACAAAACGCATACTAAAATTGAGTGATATTGAGCTTAGATTTTTATTCCTTGTCCATGTTGATCTCCTGGCTGGAAGGGGGAGGCTTAGTGGAAAGGGAAGGGTTCATGCAACAACCTAAGTACACGCCTGGGATTAGTTCGCGGATACCTGGTATTCATCTGTGTATTTGTCATTTCACATTGCACTTGTCTCGCTTTTGCCGCTAAATTTGTCACGTACTGGAGCTCTTCGTATCAGGCACCTACATTAGTTCAGTTACTGCAAGGTATTTGCTTCCGACGATCACATTCGGTACATGATACCTGCGGCCTCTCATCGGCAAAGGGTTCAAACAATCTTCATCTATTCGTTTCCAGCTGGCTATAAGTGGTCATATCTTTTCTGTTGCTTATCTTTCTTATGCACTGTACACGGATTAAACGTCACAAAAGTTGCTCTAATCGACTGCATGATACACTCCATCACTACTCAACCCCCCTAATAAGTCATCAACATCTTTCCACCTAGCTAAGGGTGAGAAACATCTCAGGAACTCGAGAGGCTCTAACTGAGAGTGATTGCCCTCATTCCCCTTGATATAGTCATCGGCTGGATTCTCCCACTTCTTCCATCGACATCCCAGTCGCACAAACAACGCACGTCACGGGAGTCGATGTGCTGACATGCATAAAACAATAGCCCAGCCATTGGAGTATCGTGCGTGAATTAATGGTAATGAGCGATTCGCTCACTCTTCTTGCACCAGTTGCGAGACGCCGAACAAGCTAGTTACCCATACGGCGTTTCATCAAACATGAACGGAACCGCAAGGGGGCCAGCGGATGGTCCGACAGGTTAGCTTTTACCACGTACAGTAGAAGGGTTGAGTAAACGGCTGCAATCTAGGCTCTGGGTTTGAGGAATGTGCTGACATCACAAGTGGCGATGATTTGCGATGGCGTCTCGAGTTATCGCTGTACGATTTGTCACTTCATCTTCTGTTCTACAAGCGCTGATACAGTGGTCCAAGTAATTAAATTTTGGAGGGATTTTAGCTGGTCACCACCAAGGGTCAATGCATGTGGGGTCCTTGACAATATTGCACCATAGCTTCGCATTTAAAAGACGCACAGCATGGTCCGAAACGGAGGACATCCGTTGCTAATCTGTCCAGTGCTGCTTGGCGCGTTTCTGCTCTGTCACCAATTTGGGAACCCTCGTCAGCATACGATCAACAGGCCTCCCCTTTACACATTCGAAGTCGTATTCAGTGGATGCAGTTTCCACGATTGTCGGGCTACGGAGCACTCGCCGTGTGTCTTCAATTGCGACACGCAATCTCAATTGCAGCATCGATTGACCTTGTAGTCAGTCACTCCCAGACCAGGCTACCACTACCTGATGAGTCCAAACAAGGACAAAACAAGTCCTAGAGTGCAGTTCCAATTACATCATCCTTGGGGAAATGAAACGGGGAAGGCGATAGCGGGTATCTCTGTATCACACTGGTGGTGATAATGAAAAGCTGATATCCTTCAATAAACCATCTGCCCGAATTACGGGAGTAAGGCGCTCTTTTGATACTTACATGTTGATCGGACACAACTTTCTTACTCAAGCAGCCCCAACAGGCGTATCGATCCATCAAATCCGAGACAATCTTGATGTCGAAGAACACGATTAATGTATGTCGCCAATAAATATGGCGGTCCTTCAACAAGTAACGTAGTTTGCTAATGTGTAGACGGCTTTGGGTATTCGATTTGGTCCATCGCAATCCAAACCAAATCGTATTAACGTTGTGTGAAGATGCGGTCAATGCAGCCTCGATTTCGACGAAACCCTGCGTATTCTTCACGAACCCGGCTTTCATGGGAGCCAATCGACTTGTGCTGAGCAACAGCGACACGAAAACCTATGCAATATCGAACTTTCTCTCAACAATATCCAGTAGTATATGAAAACTAGCGTTCTCTCAAATTGGATTCCGATGGGATCCCTTCGACTGCCATTAAAATGGGGAGGATAGACTTACCATTACTTCTGGTGAACATTTCACATTGTCACTACGAACTAATATTTTTCTGATGAATGGAAGAAAAGGAAGAAAGAAAAGAAATGCATCGGTCTGCCGGTGCGTAGTGCCGACGCTTCGCTGCCGCGCAACCACCACCGGCAGCATGTGGGCTAAGGATACTGCGGGGATCGTCCTACCCCTACGCAGGATCGAACCAACGCCCTCGGATTACAGGACAGCAGCATTTTCACTCCTGATCGGCCGATGGCAGAGTGGTCTGCACTCCTGGCTTACATTGATAAGGTCACCGGTTCGAATCCGCGCAGTGGCGGGCGTCCTCGCGGCATTCTCGGCCCGCGCGCGACTGGTAGTGGTCGCGCGGCAGCGAAGCGCCCTTACGGCCTACAGCTGACACATTATTATTATTATTATTATTATTATTATTATTATTAGTGAGACACGCAAATCATCGCACTACGTTAAGGTCCAATCTCGTCATCTGGTATGCAATCCCACCTTTTTCATTTCCCTTATTTCTCCATACGGTTTCGCAAATGCTTGGGTTTAAGGTTTAAAAGCCTACCTTTGTGGTTTGATTTACAATATTTCCACCACAGTAACTGTGCCGACTGCTTTGCTAACAATTCTCCACCATCCGCCGTTTGAACTAGAATTTGCTTGGTGCAATTACCTGGCCGCTTGCTCTCTAGGTCTTTGTGCTTGTGAATTATTCGCTTTATCCGACAAGAGCATGTCGAAAGACTACGTCTGTGGAGCACCCACTCGCAATTTTTCGCCAGAACAGCAATTTCTCATTTTCCGCACCTGAGGCGATGCGCTGATTGTCGGATTTGCATAACATTTGTCTTCTTATTGGCCACGAGCCCAAACCTTATCCATATCTCGTACTAGTTTCTGGGATCTTTTATTCCGTTCTTATCGCAGTGTGCGCACTTACCGCCGAATGGCGCGGTTACTTTGTCACAACTACACATTTGTCTCGATGCACATATTCTCTTTTCTTAATTGACTCTGCACCGACCAAACTCTAGCACACTATCGATTCACCAGTTTCCGACATTCCGAATAGTCGCACATACACTACGTGCCGTTCAGATCACAGAATACGACTCCGTCGAGTATGTAGTTGCGGCGGTCACGTCTTTTAAGCGATCTGTACTTGCCTTGTTTAAACCCACGGTTTGTACTTCTACTTATGTTATTTTGATTTTGATTTTCGGTACGACTAGATGACATTGTCTAGCAATCAATCATTTTTAAAGGTTGCAAATGACTGCCATTCCTGTGATAGCTTTTTCTCTACTTGTGCCATCCCAGCAGGGTTAGTCCTAAATAGAGATGGGCCTAGGAGTGGAATGTGATTCACAACACTAATGGGCGTCTTCGCCCCCTATTCATGCAAACCATTCCAATTTTCTCATGAATGCTTGCCTCTTTATCTACCGGTGGTTACCTGCATAATTTGTCGGTGGGTCCTGGTCATCTTGCTACACCTACCGATCTCTGTCAAATGGCACCGTTTCGTTATGGTGAAGACTTTCTATCCTCCGCGTCCTGCTGTTGCTTTTGATAAACTGACCAACGGAGGTGCCCCAGTTGGTTCTGCGGCTCTACCATTTAGTGGTACTTTGTTTGCTCGCTCTTCTCATATTCATATTGTTGACTGACTGCATCCCTAATGCAATGATCTGTTTTGACGTTTACTGGTGCATATGCATCTCACTTCTCCGGTGCTGCGCACTCAGTCAGGTTTCTCCACAGAATGAATTTGACGAAATTCTCTCGTCATTGTTCATCCTCTTGAAAATCACCGTTTTCATGAACATGGACAATCAACACCCAAACTGGCAGTAAGGGTGATATTTCCTTACTACCAAATGGACTAGGCAACGTCATCGATGCTACCATTTTGTCACCACCTGCCGTACTCTAGCAGATTTCGCTTCACTTTATGTTCACTTGCCGCATCCTATCGGAACAGATGCATCATTTGCTATCATCCACCGGTCGACATTCACATAGCAGTATTACCCATCTGCTCATTCATATGAGCAGAGTTTCGCAAATGAATCTACTCGCTAGTGAATTAAACTTAGATCCCCCTTCTGTGGCCTTATTGCTGATCTACGTCACTCCATCGCAATGAGGCTGGACCTTACCGTGGTGCGATGGTTTGCGTGCCTCAGAGATCCATTGAGCTATGCTGGGTGGTGCTTTTTTTGCACCTTTAGAGCCACTCATACCAGATTGGTCAATGGTTAGAGGCCAGACAAACTCAGCCTCCTGGTCCTCCAGGTTGGGGGTTGGAATGGGGGTGGCTCCTCATCTCATAAAACGGGCTCTGTAGTCCAATGCCAAAACCCGCTGCCTTGCGGTAAGGTTTTTGAACCAAAAGCTTTGGTTGAGAACCCTAATCGTTCTCCTGTCTAGGCCTGGGCAACCTGACAGTATTCTGCCCACGCAATACAATGAACCTTTCCTACAACAATTTCTTGATGCTCTGGCAGTCGCAGAGGATAATCAACGGCGCCCTATCTGCTGCATCGAGCAGGGTAGATAGGGGGTTTAGATGCTACTGCTCAGGCCTTTCCGTCTTCTTATACCCCTTCTTGTGCTTCTGCATCCTTATTGTCCCGCTCCAACTTTACTTATATCCCCCCAATTTTCAATC